AAATATATAGGAAATAATAGTTTTATACCTTAATATGATAAAATTTTATAAAATTTTCCCTTCTCCTTTGGCAATATTAGTCATTAATAGATATATTTAACATGATGGTTCTAAATATATGAATAGATAAAATTTTCCTTTCAATTTTACGAAGTAGTATATATGACGGGTTGTGTGACTTTTTTTGTAAACGTAAGAATTCATACAATATCGAGCGATTTTGTATCATTTTTTTTAACATATGAAGTAAAAAATGTATGATTCTTACGGTTTTTATTCTCACGTTTTTGAATAAATCAAGATTTAAAAAATTTTCAAAATTGTAAGACATTTACACTCAGCCCATACATAATGAAATAAAAAATAAAAAAATAAAAAAATAAACGAGAAAAATTCATGTCTCACATTTTTGAAGAACTGAGGTGCTACCATGTTACCAGGTCACCAGGTTAATTAACTTCTTTTAAAAATGATGACAACATGACATTTTGACAACAGGTACGAAAGGAGGTATAAATATAATGGAGTCATAATCAAAGACCTCATAAACGAGAAAAAGAAATTGAAATTAATGATTATTTGAATTTATGAAATCAATTATTTGATTCATTCTTTCTTCAATCTCTTCTATTCTTTTTGTTAAATCATCAATTTTCATTAATGAGGTGATTCTTGATTGAGGAATAGATTTTAAACTAATCACTCCTTTTATTTTTGAAATTTTGAATCCATCAACTTTAAACATTTTATTCAATTTACATGTTGTCAATTCTTCAAATAATTTTTTATTCTTTGCGTAATAGTCATTAAATTCTTCAACAGATGAAAAAATTTTTGTTTCAGTAATGGGTTTAACAATGTTTATTTTATTTTGAACATCTTCACTTTCATTTATTTCTTCCTCCTCTGTTTCATTTATTTTTAAAATTGGTTTCATTTATGATTAAATAAAAATTAGAATATATGTGATGAAATATATTTTTTAATTAATATTAAATCAGAAATGGCGGCAGGATTCTTTAAAAAATTATGGGATGGAATTAAGAAAGCTGCGGGTTGGGTTCATAAAAATATTATTAAACCCGTTGCAAACTTTTTGGCACCAGTAGCGAAAACGGCAGGAACTATCATAGGTGGAGTATTAGGTACTAAAGCAGGTAATCCGGCGATGGGAGCACAAGCAGGTAACGCAATTGGTGGAATTGCTGAAGGAATACTTAATAAAATAGGAGGTAGATAGTGGAAAAATAAATAAATATTATTTTTATCTTAGTATCGGTTGAAGTCTTTGATAAACTTTTTCTCCTTTATTTAATATTTCTCTTATTGGGGCGGCTTTTGGCGTTATTGATTCAGCAACGTCACTAATTGCTTCTTTATTCTTAAATATCCAATTTGCTCCCTTCTTCAATGTTTCCCAAACTTTATGCGCTCCTCTTTTTACTTTATCCCACAGTTTCTTAAATATACCCGCGGCCATAGTTGATTATTTCATTAAAATTAAAAATTCATTTTCATCTTTTAATTTTGATTTTTTATTTATTAATAAATGACGACTAACTATTTAGTGCCAAACACTAAACCGATTAATGGAAATGTGTTTCATTCATTCGAAAAGATAAATGAAATATTCGCAAAGAATGACGGTAGAAGATATTATAGAGAACTTGAAAGTTCATGCTATGACTCTGATGCTCCATATTTTGATGATAAACAAACTCATTTAAGAATTACAAATCCGGCTCATGATGTGAACCAATTAGGTGACACATATATTAAACGCAAAGTTAAAGCAACTCTAGTTTCAAATAAAGCTTTCACATGTGATACCGCTTTTAAATGCATGCGTTTATTCGTTGGTTACAAATCATCAAATCAAAGCTTTAAACAAAGAAGTAGAAACCGAAAGAGGTGATGCCGGTTATCTTCAAATGGATTGCGCCCGTGAATCTTTCGCATTTGCAACATATAAACCAAAATCAGAAAGGAAAGTTAAAAAGTTTGTTCATTCGTTATATAATAATGTTCAAAAATATGATAACTCAGTATGTGGTAAATATATTGACCCTTCAGAAGTTTTCAAGAATGCAAATGAAGAAGTTGATGTCACTTTTGATATGATTATTCCGGTAAATGATTTGTTAGCATTTCAGGCGTTCGATGATTATCCTAAATCATTTGGTGATATCATTCTTAAATATTATGTTTTCAGGGATACTTTAGTATTTTGTCAGGTTGACCCGTTAAGAGTTGCTGATTTACAAAATTACGTTTATGAAAAGATAACTGATGAAAATTATAAAAAGATTATGAATCATGTTTATAAATATGATCGCAAATTCCAACAAATCGGACTTCCTGCCAAATTAATTACAAGCTTAGCCGCTACATCTGCTGACGCAACAGTTGATGACGTTATTATTTCATGCACAAAGATGGAAGTTTTAGAGGATAAATGCATTACACCAGGATACGGTTTAATTGAAGAATCAGTTAAAGCAATACCACGTTTATTCAGTAAGGAAGATCCATTCATGATTCCAGCTCAACATATTGACGTTCGTTCACTAAATGGAGGTTGCATCACTCCTGAAGGTATCAGCTCAGATTTCTCATACGCTCTTCATAATGTTACAGATGTTGTGTTAGCATTTCCGAAGAATGCAATGCAAAGAACAGTTTTAGAAAATCCAATGCTTCGAGGTCTTCAGGTCACTATAGATTCCAGAAACTTCCCCGATCAAGCGATGACCACAGTGGGTGACATATTCTTTACACGTATGCTTCAAGCTTCTGATTTAGATGGAGTGAATGAATGCACAGAAGAATATGAGGACTCATTAACTAGACCGCTGAATGCAGATGATGGCACACCATTAGCTAGAACATGGAAAGACCAAACTTCATTCTTATGCACTATTCCAGTTCAACGTGATGGAGCGGGTATATTCTTTGATGGATTAGAAACTTTCAACTCACAAGTTACAGTACAAGTGAAAGCTTATCCAATCATTCAGGGTGTAAATGACACTTACTGTTCAAAGGTGACAAATCCTCCTCAGTTTTGGTTTACTAGGACTACATATTGGACATGGACACCGGATGAAGGTTTGAAATATCATCCAACAGGTACACCACCACAGTATAGAAGTTCATATGATGAAATATTGATGAATAGAAATGTTTAAAATTATAAATTTATTTTTGATTAAATGGATTTCAATTCTGAAGAATTAGCGGGAGTATATAATACATACGTAGATGATATGATTAATGATGCATTGAGTGATAATAGAAATGCTCTATCTAAGGAAAAATTAATGAAAATTCCATATTCTGAATGTTATTTAAATTCAATCACTGCAGCAATTGGTAAACAAAATAAAGGTAAAACATTAACGATATTAAAACAAATTATCATTATTGCTAACACTTCCCCCTATTCACACGTGTTAATTTATATCAACCGTTCAGGTTCACCTTCAGAGGATACATTTGAATCTTTAAAGCATTTAATCAAAATTCCAATTATTTATTTATCACAAGAAGAAGCAGAAGATTATTTAAAAAACTTTTTAATGTATAAAGAATTATATAATACAATCAAGAAGCAAGGATTAGAGGATAAAATTATTGATAAACAAAGGGATGAATTATTTGAAACACTTTCTATTTCAAATTTTGATAAAGAATTTTTGCATTCACTAATTTTTCTAGATGATGCAGTGAAATCAAAACTAATAACTAATGAGAAATCATATTTTAATCAGTTATTAACTCAATGTCGACACATTCAGTGTTCATTCTTCATGGCTGTTCAATACTTTAAAGCATTAAGCACAAACATTAAATCAAACCTGTCCACCCTTTTCATTTTCAGTGGTTTTAGTCGTCAACAGTTGAACGTTATGCTTTATCAAGTGAATTTACCAATGAGCATTAATGAACTTTACACACAATATCAACAATTAGGAGAACATGGAAAAATAATAGTTGATTTAAATAAAGGTTCCATTAAATTCGAATAACTTTTTTATAATTAATTTTTATTTTTTATTTATAATTAAACATGACAGAAATTGCAAATCTTCTACAGGTTCCATTAAAACAAGGGACAAACAAAAAGGGTGCATATAATAGAACCATGAAAGTTCCCGATGGAATGAAAGAATTAGTCCACATTGTTGCCGGTCTTCAAAAGGATGTTAAACAAATGAGAAACGTTTTAACATTACCAGAAGCTCAAGCATATGCCAAACGTCATGGACCAAATTGGGAAGCACATGAAGCAGACATTACAGGACCAAATGGAAAGCCTGATGGAATAAATGAAGTCTTTGTTACTGATGGTCAAGGAAATATTAAAGTCATAAATGGGTATAATTAACAATGACGGATTATCCTAAACGTAAAGCATATAATGAACGTTATCCTATGCAATTTGATGAAAATGGAAAAGCTGTTAAACAATACATTGGAGAAGGTGAAAATGGTCCAATTAATTCATACCGTCATAATCCATATTCTTATTTCAATGAAGAATTAAATGCTATTGAAGAGGGACCGGATGGATTACCACGATATTCTAACCAGTTTGATGGTCAATATGCAAATATTAGACCTGAAATTTCAGCTAAGAAATTCTTTAAAGTTGCTTTATTCGATCCAGTTTTCGCAAATGTTAAAGATGAACTTAAACAGCAATTCCAACCAATTATAGTAGCAAGAATTGCATCAGGTGCTTTATCTCAAGCATTCAAAGATTTAATTAAGAAACCATTATATCAGCAACGGGGTTTAACTTATGATTTAGTTAAGGAATCAGATAAAAGAAAATTTGAGAAATCAAATGATTATAAGAATGCAATTAATGAATATATTCGGTCTATTAATTTCGATGAAAATGCTAAAAATCAACTTCATGAACAAATACAGAGAATAATAGGTTCAAAAGTTCCAGCAAAATAAAAGTTTAAATATATTTTTTTATTCGATTATAAATGAGAAGACGTTTCACTAGTCAAAAGAACACAAACGCAAAAGCAGAGATTACGGTTGGTTATAACGTAAATGATGATAAATCACGAATTATTCAAAATGTTAAAGTTAATGTTAGTCCTGAATTAACAAGGTTTTTATTAAATCAAATTTCATCTCGTGACTTACCAAAGAAAGAGGAGGAGCAAAATAAAGAAGATGAAGACCCAATCATTTTATCTGAACCCGGTAAAGAACCCGTTGAAATTCCCACTTATCCAACATACCCCCCACCTCTTTCATCAAACATCGAGAACCCAGGAATCTACGATTCCAGTCGCAATGCGCCATATAAAGTAGACATTAATTCTGAATTAATGAAAATATATCGCGATATCATAACTGATAATTATGATTCAATAATAAATTTAATCGATCAATCAGGATTAATTATTTTACCATATGAGTCATTAATTCATATTATCGCTGTTCTTTGTGATGTTCAGGATTCAGACGTGAAGATTCAATATTTCATAGATGATGAGGTTTCATGCTGCGGAACAGTTGCAAAAATAAACCCAATAAAGGATATTAGCACAATTAAGATAACAAAGAACGGAACAACAACTGAACTACATTTAACTTATAATAACATATACAATAAAATAGTTGATGAATATAAAATATCACTAGAAAAATTCTTTGTTAAGGCTATATGAGGACTATGTCAATATTCAAGCATTAACATTATCGAATAATATTTATAATTATATTCAATATCAATTGACCTTTCACCTGTTTCTATCGTTTGTTTTATTTGTTTTTGTTCTCCACTATCTGGATCGGTCATTGTTATCGTTCTTGATATAGTATCTGGTTTATCTTTAACTTCAAGTCTTTTTCCATTAGGTTCTTTAAACCAAAATTCCAAAAATTCTAAATTTTCAATCTGTTCATATTTTAATCTATCAACTGCATTTTTAATTCCATCTGAAAAACGAATGAAATGGTCATTATATGGATTCGATTGAACTAAATTTGAATGAAGCGATATATAACCCATGCTACTATATGACGTTGATTCAAATGAACTAAAAACACTAAAATTAATGACGTGAATATATTTTTTATTTGTTGAATTTATGAATTCTTGAGGTAATCTTATTCTTGTTTTATTTATCACTGGAAAATAACGCTTTACCATATTTTTAATCGCAATAAAAAATGTCAATTATCAATATTATTTCGAATAATAACTGTGAACTAAATTTAACAGTCAGCGGAATTTATAATGTGTCCCTCGTTTCAGTAAGCGGTAAATTTAATCCCATTCTTTTAGACCCTTCGGATTACATAACATTCATTAAAGAGCCGCAAAGCGGCGAGGTCGTAGACCATGAAAAGGAGAGGGATATGTATATAAATAATGTGATAACGAAATGGGATATTAACATGATTTTAAGTTATTTAAATGAATCATTTATCGTATGGTATGAAGAAAATTTTAAATCAAAACCCGATAAACTTTTTGAACTTGATGAAATAAATAACTTGATAAAATTTCCGCTGAAAATTAAATTTTGTACTCCTCACCTACGTTCAGTGTTGGGGATATTAAATTTTGAAAAAGATGTTGGGGATGTTTTGTATTCTGACGTTGGTTCCAATTTCATTTTAATCAAATGTGATAAAGTTAATACCCCAATGAGATTTTCACATCAAACATTAGACCCTAACTCTTACCCATCAATACAAAACATTTTATCCATCAACTTAAACACATTTTCCCTATCATATCCGTTTCAATTATCCGGGAATTCATTTATCCTTCATTCAAAAGATTTATCAAATATTAAATTTAGAATAACTGACCTATTTGATTGTGATTTAGAATTCATGAATGAAATATTATGGCAATTTCAAATAGAGAAAATAGCTGATGAGATAACGGATTAAATATTTATTTTTAAATCATAATAAATGATTAAACAACAGCAACCACAGCAACTTAAGGCGCAAAGCACCCAGGTCCTTCAGACCATTACATACGCCATATATGCATATAATTCAAAGACGGCAGAACAAACGCAAAGGTTGAAATATGGAGATTTGGAGATAGTATTGAAAAATGACCATTTCGAATTCGTTTGCAAAGGTGGTGCAGTGATATCAAATATAAAAGAAATTTTATTTATGAATTCTAAAATTAAAGGTATAACGGATGATATAACATCAATTCCACCAGAAGAACAGAGATATTACGCATTAAATGCATTTCCTAAAGTTTTGAAGATTGGAAGATTTAATTTAAATGAGGAATTCATAGAAGGTTTCCTAAACGACATAATGAAGAAAGCAGATAAGGAATATGTGGATAGTGAATTAATGAAGAAGGCAAATTTGGTTTATGTTGATGAAAAAGATAATGAAATTAAAGAAAAGGTTGAATGGTATCATGAATGGACATTTGAGACTTTTAAAGTTAAAGCTGATACAGAATGGGTTTCGGGATGTTTAGACCTTAAAGCAGATAAAACTTATGTTAACGATGAGTTAGAGAAGAAGGCGGATAAGGAATGGACATTTGAGACTTTTAAAGTTAAAGCTGATACAGAATGGGTTTCGGGATGTTTAGACCTTAAAGCAGATAAAACTTATGTTAACGATGAGTTAGAGAAGAAGGCGGATAAAACATATGTTAACGAAATATACCAAAGTTTGATAGGAACAAAAATATTGAAACTATTGTTGGTGACTTTTCTGTCAATGAAGAAAATAAATATTTTAGATGGCAGTTTGTACACTCCTTAAAAAATGGTATACGATATAAACTCATTCCGAAAAATAACAATGAAATGTATGTAAGCTATAAAAAGAATGATGGTACACAAGTTAAAGTTCCATTAGACAACAACTGCTACTTAAACTTATATGGAGACGAACAAAAGAAATATTTAAGAGTTTATGAAATGGCAGATATGACATTGCCTGACCCAGCTCCAGCACCATATTATTATGACTATGGAGATGACGACAGAACACCACATGTAGATGAACAAAAGCTAACATTATATTTAGATTATTATAGATATAAAAGATATAATGCAATAAAAAACGAGAATAGTATATTATTATACAGATGACAGAAATAAATATTATAGTCAAGATTTTACCTACCCTGAAAACATAAGATTATATTATAAAAAATATTCTGACACAAACCAGAAGAAACCTGAAATAGTTGCACTATATTTTAAGTTCAAAAGAGACAATCCTATAATATCTCATATGTTTGATTTAATGAACCCAGTAGGTTCTATTTATACATCTATGGATGCAAGAGGTCCTCAAGTAATGTTTGGTGTTGGTGCATGGGAACAAATAGTCGACAGGTTTTTGTATTGTGCAAACTCTTCAAAGGAAACAGGTGGAAGTAAAACGATTTCAGGTGAAAATTTACCTGCACACAGTCACTACATAGATTTAAGTACATCCCATGCAGGTTGGCATAAGCATAGATATTGGGATTGGTCAGGAATGACAAAAGGTAAAGGATATGATGTTAAAGACGACGTTAAGTTTGCTATAAATTGTTACTGGAGTGACACTCAGGGAGAAGGAAACCATACACATTTCGTTTCAGGATATACACAAACAACGGGACAAAGTAAAGAATACATGCCACCATTTATGACTGTATTCGCATGGTTCAGAGTTGCTTAAAGTCCTGAGCTCCAAAAGAGCGAACAACATGACATTTAGACAACAGGTACGAAAGGAGGAAGGCATTTATGAATTTTCATGTATTTTCTCAAGATAGAAAAATAACGTTAGTTTTATTTTTTCTAACTTTTTATTTTGTATGTAAGAACAGTAATGTCGGTCGAAGCAAAAACATTCACGAACAAATCTAATGGTGAAACATTCACAAAAGGCACTTATAACGGTATTGAAGTCTTACGTAGAGACAAGGATGGTTACATTAATGCAACAAAGATGGTAAGAGAAGCGGGAAGGTTAAACCATTTAAACAGATTTCTCAATAGTACTAAAATGCAGGAAATTCTTGAGTTTTGGATGAACGAATACGGTGGAGCCAAAAGTGGCTCGACCTCAAAACAAGCATTTTATGAGCTTACAAAGGGTGTTATAAATGAATTCAAAGGTATTTACATACATCCTGACCTCGTTCATTTTGTTGCTGAATGGTGCTCTGTAAAGTATGCATTTTATGTCAAAGATATTATGGACTCCATAGACAAGAAAGTTCATGAGAAATTAGATGAAGAAGAACTTGAAGATACAGTAGAGAATGCTAAACCTTGTTTGAAGAAGAAGTTAGAAAAATGTGCGAAAAACAATTAGAACATGAACGTGAGATATGTTATGGTTATAGAGATTCTCCATACGAACTAGACCAATGGGAACAAGAAAATTTAAAGAGAGAATTTAGAGAATATGAACTCGCTAAGATAGCATTAGAAGCTGCAGAAAAGAAGTTAAAAGCTTGGGGTTGTTTTGTAAAAAAATATTGTGAGTAAATGAACCATTTATTTTTGTCATAAACGACCAAAAATATATGTTTACGTTAATGGTTTCAGGTTATTCAATAATTAATTATTTTTGAAGAACTGAAGGCGTCACCAGGTCACCAGGTCACCAGGTTAATTAACTTCTTTTAAAAATGATGACAACATGACATTTTGACAACACAGGAGGAAGGCAGTTATGAATTATTTTTGAAGAACTGAAGGCGTCACCAGGTCACCAGGTCACCAGGTTAATTAACTTCTTTTAAAAATGATGACAACATGACATTTTGACAACACAGGAGGAAGGCAGTTATGAATTATTTTTGAAGAACTGAAGGCGTCACCAGGTCACCAGGTCACCAGGTTAATTAACTTCTTTTAAAAATGATGACAACATGACATTTTGACAACACAGGAGGATTAATGCAAAAATAAATTCAAATCATACTTTATAAAGCATCATTTACAGGTATTTCATCGTCAGTAAATGAATCCTCATTATCGTTTGGTTCAACCTGTTTATATAATCCTTTCATTTCTTCTTTCAAAACATAATACCATATCTGTTTACCATCTATTTTTCTTTGTTTCCTTTCACATTTATCCTTAATGCTCATTTGGAAATTCTTGTCTTTCATGTCTGATGGTTTGCAGAATAGAGCATTTTTACACGTCATACCTGCACACAATTCATCATAATGTGTATTTATCCATACATCTAAAGGATTTGTTGATAATTCAATTAAATCTTGTTTGGCTTCAGTCATCGGTATGATTCGTACATTAAATGATGAAAGGTCATATTGCATAAAATACGTCAGTAAATTATCATAAAATTCCTTTGTGCATGAATTCATCAAATTCTTGAAGTAATTAAATTGACCCTTGAATTTACCATTGACCCTTAAAACTACGTATCTTCTGTCTCCAACTTCAATTTTGACAGGGTAGACGTTGTTAGTTACGAAAATGAAGTTTGCAACATTCTGAGCAGTTCTTCTGGGTTGATTCTTTTCATTAATTCTAATCTCATTATCCGTAATAATTGATTTCAAAGCGTTGAAGTTTGCGAGTCTATCTTCACCTACATTCTTGAGTTCATTAAGTACAAGAAACATTTTATTTTCAACTACTGAATTGAAATTACCCGTTAGCTCACTTATTTCGGTAATGTTTTTACATGAATAACCGGCGAGAAGTTCAGAAATAATGTCTGTAAATCTGTTTTTACCTGTTCCCTGAAGTCCTTTCAAAATAATTGCTGTTTCATTCTTGATTCCAGGATGTTGAATCATTGATGCAATCCAGCCGAGTAGATATTTATACACTTCATCATTATTATCACAAATGGCTTCTTTAATGAAATTCATAAACATCTCAATTTTTGAGTAATCAGGCTTTTCGAGAACGTTGTATTTATAACCTTGAAACGTTGAGAAAACATCTGGAGAATCAGATTTAAAGCAAACACCCTTAACAGTTAATGAAGACAATTGATTTAGTAGTACATCCCATGCTGTTATTGTTTTACCTTCTTCTTTAAATAATTTAATCATTTTAAGTGACTCTTTCATGTTTGACTGAAGAACGAATGATATTTGATTCATTTTGTCGTGTATGTTGTAATCTTTCTGAATGAAATATTTATTTCCACAATCTACAAAACGGATTACACGTGATAAATCCTCAATTACTTCAGAACTGTTTTTATACTGATGATTTTCAGCCTTGCGTCTAATATCTGTTATCAAGAATGAATCATCAAGTTTGATATCAAATGTTATTTTTGGCTTACGTAATAAAGGTAAAACATATTCATCATAATATTCCTTTTGATATAGTTTTAGAATCTTCACCAAAACAAATGGAGAAGTCATTAAATGTGCATATCTACTACGTGCTTTTTCAAAATTACTTTTTGCATTTTCTGTTAAGCTGCAGAAGTTATAAACGTTATCGTATGCTTCATTAATTAAATGATTAGGTAACGAATTAATTGCTTGAAACAGTGTGAATAATGTAACTTCTTTTTCTAAATTCATGTTTCCACCGTCATTATGTACTTCAAAATCACTAATGCCATCAACTATGCTCTGGGCAAGTTTATCGTCAATGTTTACATCTTTGTTTTCATTCATTATACTCTTTATTTCTTCGTTCTTCTGTTCAACTCTTACCTTAATATTCAAATCATTTAATATATCATTCACTGTTCTGGTTAATGTTGAATCATAACTTCCACGAATGAATGAGTATGTATTGATTGGTTCTGTTGCATTCTTGCGAACTCTTGAATCAGCCATAACTACTAAAGAACGCTTTGAATCATCCATAGAAGTCATGATATCAACATCATAATCATTGCAGGAATAACATTTAATCATTCTGTTCGAAACTGAATAGAAGAAATTAGTGTTGCAATAAATGTGAAGACCTCCTGAAGCGGTTTTAACGATAACATCTTTATCCGAAAGTTTTGATAAAATATCTTTTCTAACTGTTTCTTTAAGTTCATCATTGTATGATTTATTGATATCAACATCTATAATCGTTAAATTTGAAATTTTATTTACTAATAAAGCCATACCAGTTTTCCTTCCTCTTCCTCCATCGTGTTTGAGATAGTTATGTAAATTAATCTTGTTTTCACCAATTCTTTCGTTGAGGGTTTTAGTTTCTGCCACAACTAATTCCTCAGCTAATGAATCAATAACTTTTTCATCAGAAACAATATAGTTGCTGTTGTTGTTTGTTGCTGTCATTTATATAGGAATAAAAAAATAAAAATAATTTTAAAACTAACTTTATTTTTGGACTGCATCAAATTTTCATTAATGTTGTCTAAATGTCATGTTGTCTCATTTTTTCAGAGAAGTTAATTAACCTGGTGACCTGGTGACCTGGTGACACCCTCAGTTCTTCAAAAATAATTCATAAATGCCTTCCTCATTAATCCTGCGTGAATTTTGTATAAAAAAACAACCGTCTGAATTCCGGCGGTTGCTATATTCTTCACAAAACATTTACGATGAAGTCATGACAAAGCATATACGATGAAATCATGACAAAGCATATACGATGAAATCATGACAAAGCATATACGATGAAGTTTATTTCCTGTGTTGTTGTCAAAATGTCATGTTGTCATCATTTTTAAAAGAAGTTAATTAACCTGGTGACCTGGTGACCTGGTGACGCCTTCAGTTCTTCAAAAATAATTCATAACTGCCTTCCTCCTGTGTTGTCAAAATGTCATGTTGTCTCATTTTTTCAGAGAAGTTAATTAACCTGGTGACCTGGTGACCTGGTGACGCCTTCAGTTCTTCAAAAATAATTCATAAATGCCTTCCTCCTGTGTTGTCAAAATGTCATGTTGTCTCAAACTTTAGAACGGCATAATTTAAATTTTTATTTTTATATAAATGGATACCCCACAAGCTCAAAATTTACCACGAATCATAACAAGGGAGGAAATGATAAAAATGATGCAAGAACATGTTAAAAATAACAAACCACTAAAACTGAGAAAATGTGGTTATGCAGTAATGATGGAAAGAGAGATGTTGTCGAAGAGGAATAAAAATTAAATTTGGATTGAGTTTAAAAATTCATCTTTATTAAATTCATCTCTTCCAATCAATTTATTTATTCTATTAAATTCTTTTATTTTTGCTTCACCCAGTTTAAGGATTGAACGGTAAGTTTCTAATTTTTCAATTATTTCTTTATCGTTTTCAACCCCACCGCATTGCGGCTTCTTTTTGTAATAGCATATTTTTGATTTAATTCTGTTTAGTTTCTTTTTATATTCATCGTCTGGACTCTTGACTGCTTTGTTGTCACTCATTTCTTACGAAATAAAAAAAATTAAATATTATTTAAATATAATGGAGTAATAAAATAAATCGGAATTTCTATTAATTTATTGTCAACTTCAACTAATGCATTGCCGTTAATATATCTAACAAATTCAGCTATTGTGTCAAATCTTCGTCTTCTTTTTGTCATTGATTTATTAGTTTTTCCATAATCGAGATGAATCAAAACTTTATCCCCCTGTTTAAAATTCATGAGCCCCGAATTAATTTGTTCACGTTTAACATCATTTAACCTTTCCATTTGCTTTCTAATATATCCCCATTCTTTTGAAATATCATTTTTCATTTCCACTGGTTTCATGTTAATAGTTCTATGCCATGTATTATTGTAATAATATACTAACTGCTGTATGATGGAGTCATGATTTTCATCCCAGTATATCTGACCGTTAACCCCTAACGCATCTCTAAGAGTTCTCATTACCGCATCAACTATTTTATTATGAAACGTATATGGAGAGGATGAGAAGTAAAAATTAATTTGTGGGAAATAATGAGTCATAGCTGCCTGAAATCCTTTATCACCATCACCCCTTATATTATCTACTCTTTCATGATCTAGTAAGTATTGAATAGCTCTTCTTGTTTCCTGTTTTGTTTTCCCTTTCACTGGAATGCAATATAAATATCTAGTGTTAATGTTAATGGCAAATAAATAAGTAACGTTTCCTTTTGAATATTCCAGATGATCGATTTCGTATGAATATGGATATGGAGCAAATGAAGGGCGACTAAATTTTTCCTTTAACGGTTGAATTTTCGGGTCAATTGGTTTATTTAATATCTTGAAATCCTTTTTAAAATTTTTGCTTCTTTAATGTTTGAAATGGATATAATAAAGTGAATGATGAAGGATTAACTGAAGGAGGAGGAGGTACTGTCGTTGGAGGTTTTGGTGTTGCAAGTGGTTTAATTTTATCTGCTTTGATTTTGGATTTCATTCCCCTTCATTAATTCTGGATGTATTCTATTCATTTGTTTTAAATATGCTGTATATAAAGGTTTGATATACTTTCCCGCTTCGAGTTTATGTTGAAGGATGAATTCCAAAAGTTGATCTTCATTTAAAAGTCGGGCTGAATATGGTTTAACTAATGAATCATAAATTAAAGCTTGTGCTTCATTTATGGTCTGAAGGACCTGGGTGTTTTGCACCTTTTGTTTTTGTTCCTTTGGCTTTTGCGGCTCAGGATTATATAATTTATATAATTCATCAATATCTTCTTCTGTTAATACTTTATTTTTGAAATCTTTCAACTGTTTAAGTTGTGATTTAGTTTTTCCCTTTGTATATTCATTATTTTTAATTTTGTCTTTAATTTTAGAAATTATTTTATCATGATATTTCAAAATTTCATTTTTATAATATGGATAATAATATTCCATATCATCACCCGTTATATTGTTATCATATTTTTGGAGATATGATTTTAATTCATAATAACTAAGAAAATTTTGATTAAGTACTAAATCATAAATTAAATTTTTTAAATCTACGCTATTCATTTATATAAAAATAAAATAAGTGTTTTAAGGGTGCCCGCCTCTTTGAATCATAGTATCAAAACCATCATTAACAGTTCCTTTTGTCTCTTCTGTGGCATTTCATTAAAAATAAAATTTTAAATTGTATTAAATAAATGGCATACAACATCCATTTTCACAACATACAGCCTTAGTGTGTGACCCTGTTAATGCAGTCTTACCAATTGTTAAGCGAGTCATTGACCCGTTTTTAAGTTGTAAATTAATATTCTGACCATCAAATATCACTTTATCATTTATTATATCCAAATAATTTTTAGGTGTTAATTGTTTATTTTGTCGTAAACTAACACCTTTCATTTTTTGTGCAATCTTTTTAAAATCACTTCCATCAATTGAACCGTTGAATGATGTATAACACTTGGGGCATAAAGCAACCATGTTATCACCTTGTTTCTCAATTGCTAAACCCAATAACTTCTTCTCATGTGCTTTTTCTTCAGCTTTATTCTTTAATTTAGGTTTAAATTTCTCATCAAAACAGAAGAAATCAAAAGGTGCGAATTTGAAAATGTTTTTATCATAAAATTTTTTATCAGTAACAATCGCCTGAAATGCTTGAGTGTTAGGAAGATTTGGATCGCCAGCGATTGCCCAATAAGATGAATCGGTATCACCTTCAATGAAATGAAAACGATTAACATCCATGCATTTATACATAAAATCATAAATGAAAACCAAATACCAGTATTTAGCATTATCTAAAGTGAAAAATGCCTCTTGTAAACATGTATCACATCTATAAAATCTATCTTTGAGCATCACTTGATATGTATCTTCACCTATTTCTCTTATGTTTTTAAACTTATTTGACATACATGCAACGCGTGACTTCTGTGCATTCATTATTTTAGTCTTTGCGTAATTTTGTGTATTCATTGCATCGTAACCATATGATCCATTAAGTGAAATTTTGCAAAATAAACTTTTTCCTTTATTTCCTTCTAATTCAGCCTTTTGTCTTTCGTTCATAAATTTGTTCGCAAATTCATTAAAACAAGTATTTTTCGTAAATGTTAAAATTGATTGAATATCATCGATGATAAAATGAAATCTGTCTATTAGATACCAAAGATAATAAGAAGAAAATGGTTGATATTGGTTGTGTGTTGATGCTAATTGAGTTAATTTTCTCTGTTTCTGGTCAACGGTAGATTGTTTGATTTCATGTAATTATACATAAAACTGCCAATTGTTTTTTCATCTGTGATAATATCTAAGTTTCTTATTATCGGTAAAAAGTTTATGTAATCATTAATGTATTTTTCATCAATGTGACCCTTTACTTCAGCAACGAATAAAGTATTTTTCTTCTTAATTATTCCCAGTGCTTTTGCTTTCTTTGTTGCTGTATCACAAATGATAACACCATTCAATCTTCCCGGCATATACATTTTATGGTCAGTATATTGAATGAAATCATGAGGATTAGATGAAAATGATGAAGGATATAATGAATTAAAGTCAACTCCAACGAAATGAGTCATAATGTTGGTGGTGTCCTCATTTGATACAGTTTTAGTTTCTGGATTATATGAAAGTTTATTAATGTGCGTGATTCCTTTAAGATTTACTCTATGTTGAACATTTGATAAACCACCAGTAATTCCATTACGGAGAATGTGATAAGCTTCAACTGAATCTAAAGTCATTGGTAAATTATTTTTTAATGCGTAATTTCTTAAATTGATTCTTAAACGTTGAACATCTTCATCTTTATTTGATTTTACGACATTGCAATAACAACACATTAACTGACAATTTTCTTTGGTATGTGGTTTTTCATTATCTATCCTATCTAATGTTGGTTTATTTGCATATGTGAAAGCTTTACCACACATTTTGCATTTAGATGAAAGGATTAAATCGTGAAAATATTGATAGTCATCCATTGAAACATTGTTTTTGGTATCTCTTTTCGCCTTTTCATCTTGTTTCTTATATGAATCAATTTTATATTTCCAATACTTTTTTGTTAATTCAAAACTTGATTCCACATTTTCTTCTTCTGGATATGTTTCGTTAGGATTGAAGTTCTTATATGCTAACGCGTAACGAATCATTGATGCATTAGATGATAATGAAAGATTATGGAGCATGTCAATTTTATAAACAAATGTTTCTTCAATAATTTTATCAATTGGGTCAATCATAATTTCAACGTCTTTATTGCAATAATGAATAAAATATTCTAATCTATTCTCAAAATTTTTAGCATCATTGAGATATATTTGATAATCTGAATCGGATATTGTTTCTTGTGTTAATGCTGAATAAAATGAATCTTGAGTGAATGGTTCCTTTTATATAATTCATCTTCGTAATTCTCCCATGTGATGAATTGATATGGGAAAAAGGATTTAACACGTGATTTATTGTTTCCGAAATCTTGAGTGAATTGGTCTAATGTTCCACCCGCTATATAATTTCTGATGTCAATAAATCTTAATTCATATGGACAGTTTGTTTTCTTTACTATGACTTGCTTAAATTGAGAAGAAGAACCCAGCATTGATTTTATCTTCCATTTTGCAGTATTTAAATCACGAAGAATTAAATTTAAATCAAACTTTCCCGAATTAAAACCAATGATATTCACTTTATTAAATTCTTCATCTAAAAGCTCTTTCATTGCTTCCTTTTGTTTCTCATTTAATGTATTCATTAATTCTTCATATTGTTCAATATTTGATTTAGCAACTAATGAACAGGTTGAAAATAAAAATTCAATCCAATCAGAGATGAACGAATCACTTGATGTTAAGCAAAAATTCCTCGTAAATGTTTTATCACGGTCTACGACCTCGCCGCTTTGCGGCTTTATTTTGACAGTTGATGATACCATAAATGGTTTTAAGTAAGCGTTCAAAGTTGCACATTCAGAAAGTTGAAGTTCTTCTTTAGTCTCTAATGTTTCGAAGTCAAAAGTAATATAATATCTTGTTGGTTTATAATATTCCTGCAAATTATGTGCTAATAGCCATTGATATATCTTCTGTTTCGTGATATGTGGTGCATATGGTTGTTGTGTGTTTTGCAATTGAACGTCTTGAATTAATCTTCCATTATTTTCTTTACATTTCTCACAATGCTTTAAAAATCTTCTTTGGTTTTTCCTTTCTGGATCATCACGGATAGAATATACTTCTTCTTTGCAAAAGGGGCAAACTTTATATCCTGTGAGTGCTTCAACGTCTGTAATTCTGTCAGCGTGAAGTTTTCCACATGGACTCTGTGTTAATAAAATATTTACTGTTTCAAATTCTGGATCTATCATTATTGATTCCACTAATGGAAAGTCTACCTTGTTAATGTCTACGTCTTCTGGTTGAGGGTCACAATAATAAAAATCAATATTAACGTTTAACATTCTTGCTAACCTCTCACTTTCTGATGAAATGTCAAATCCTTCATATGCATCTAT